CTTGCTAAAAAAACAAGTATTGGCATTCTGAATACCACAGCTTGTTCCAAACATTTTCCTTATCCCTAAATTCTTAACAGCTACACTTCTGTTTTCTAGACAAAGAGTGTCTACCTAGAGAGCAATTCAGCAAGGAACAGAAGTGATATGGAGATCTACATCTCTCTCTATATATACAAACATACACAATTCTATTGTAAGAAATATTGTGTATTTCTGTGAAGGAGAAGCAGCACTTGCAGTGCCAATTTGCATACGTGAAAGGAAAGGACCCATCAGGCAGATGGGGCCAGATCTCCCAGCCTCTGTGCTGATTGTTTATCTGCTCACTTGGAACTGGGAAACTTTACGAAAGTAAATTTGGGATTAACAGCAAAAAAATGCAGCTGTGCAAATGCATGAGACATGATGCCTTTGTATCCAGATAGAATTTTATTTAATACAATTAAAGTAATTACTTCAGTCTAGTCAGCCCTGGCTAAATCTCCACTGCAGTTAATTAGCAAATGATGGTAAAATATGTTGAACATTAAATGTTAAATACTTCCATTATTAATATTATTCTTGCAACTGATGCAAGAGCAGCCAGGTCCAGGTTCTTTGGAATGCTGCAATGTGGTAACATGAAAAACAAGACCAGTGCTTTGGCCTGGCTGGTTTAGACACAACACATTTCCTTGTACTAACACAGAATATGCCCCCAAAAAACCCCACAGAAGAGCTCAAGTCCTGCTTTCATAGAATCACAGAATAGTTAAGATTGGAAAGGACCTTAAAATCACCTCATTTCACCCCCTGCCATGGGCAGGGACACCTTCCACTAGCCCAGGTTGCTCCAAGCCCTGTCCAACCTGGCCTTGGACACCTCCAGGGATGGGGCAGCCACAGCTTCTCTGGGCAACCTGTGCCAGGGCCTGCCCACCCTCCCAGGGAGGAGTTTTACCACCCAGGAAATAACTTCTGTGATCCCACACAAACAAAAGGACCACATCCAGCTCACATCATCTAACAGCAGCACATAAAGAGTAAACATTTACAGAAAAAGGAGAATGAGAATGGCAAGATGAAAATAAAGGTGTGCAGGAGAAATGGACTTGCTGTACTTTGAACTCCTAGAACAGAATTAGTCTTGTGCCTTGCCCTTGGAACACAATTTCAGGCAAATACCCCAAAAAGAGATAAAGTAACCACTGAAGGCCCAGGGAAGGAAACAAGATGCTGGAGGAAGAAAGGTTAAAAGGACTGGGTCACATTTAGTCCTGCAAAATAAAGGTTTAACTGCACAGAACTACATAAGGGAGGTTATAAGAGAGCAACAACTGATGGCTCTCCCTAGTCAAAAATGGGAGAAAAAATGATGAGATGAAGCCATAGAAAGGAAAATGAAGGACTGAGAACCTTCATAATTCAAAGAGTGGAAGGAGCAGCCCAAAGCTGTGGAATACTCATCACTGAGGGTATTCAGGCTTAAGTAAACACCCATCTGTTAAAGAATATTTTGTTACAATCACCGCTGCTATTGTGCAAGGAGGTGGAACCAGAGCCCCACCGAAGTCTGGGGGTTGGACACCTACAATTCCCGTCTTTCACATTTTGAAACGTTTATTCAGAACAACAAACATCTGGTTCTTAATCCCTCAATTAACAGTGTTTCCAGCCCTAAGGAATTAATCATAGAATTCATGGGAAACAGTTTATTTGCTGGCAACCGAGTAAAACAAATTGCCTACAAACTTCTACGTTGCTAATGGAGCAGTTTAATTGCCTCTTTTTTTTTTTTTTTTTGACATATTAATTAAAAAAATAAAGGCTAGAAAGACATCCCTGATCAGAGACCTTGGCAGCAGTGTGTCAGCAGAGAATTACACAGCTCTGGGGACTCGGGGCTCTCACTCAGAATACTGACCTCCTTTGAAGAGCACTCGGAGATCTAGTGATGAAAAGCACAGTACAAAGTGCTAGATGGTGTCATTAGTATTCAGGAGGACACAACTCTGTGGCTTCGTTGAATTTAAAGGGATCTCCTGGTACTTTGGAAAGCCAAAATGTTTTCCAGAGGGAAGAGCTGACCAGGGTGGGGGCTGGCTTTGCTTTTTGACAGTGTCTCCCAGCAGACTGACTCAGTATCACTGAACCAGCTTAATGTCTGCTCATTTTGTAGTTCTACCATTTCCACAAGGTAGTATTTAAAGCTGTTTCCAGCTACAAATCCAAGGCAGTGTTGAAAATACCAACCCAACAAAGAATATCTACACAACTGTGCGTGTCCTCACAGAACCATGGAATGTGTTGAGCTGGAAGGGACCCACAAGGATCACCGAGTCCAACCCTTAGCCCTGCACGGAACCATCCCCAACATCACCCAAACCCTCCTGGAGCTCTGGCAGCCCTGGGGCTGTGCCCACTGCCCTGGGGAGCCTGTTCAGCTCTCAGTTGCTCCGGACAAATTAAATGGAATGGAAAGTCCACCATCAAATGTTCCAGTACTTTGGCTTTAAAGATTTCCCTGCCTCTAAGAGTAGAACGTGCTGTTCATCAGTTTATTCACCTGGTTTTGCCCCCGGATGAATTTTAAAGTAAACAACTTTTATTCTCAGCAAACAGGTTTTCAAAGAGTAACCATCACAAACAATGTGCATTACGGGTCCATCCAGCAACAGACTCTCAATAATAGCTCTGAACGTCTCCACAAGCTTCAGGGAGTCTAATTGACCACTATAATTTACTTCAAGGTTGGCAGCATTTGGACAGCTCTTGAAAGCATGTTTTTTTGTTATTAGACCCTTCTGTACCCATTTGCCACGGCCAATCTTTTCACACCTACTGATTTTGCCTTTTGTTCTCTGTGAATAGTCCTGAGACATCAATCAGTAACAGGAGGAACTGACTCATTTCCCCTCACGCTCCTTAAAGTATCTCTAGATAACATCTCCTTATCAGCACATTCCAATTTGATGGCTGTTTTACCTTTGCATCTTCCTTCAATAAAGCTGTCCGTGTTTTTTATTTGATGCCTAACCTTTATTAAAATTGCAGCTGCTCTAACATCTTTAGGTATTTATTAGTGACATCAGATACCACGGAGAGGGGGGAAAACACAAAGCCATCTATTTATTTAGTTTTGGAGAAATAATGCTAAAAGTTTTGTTAAAAAAAAAAAAAAATTAGTGTTTTGGGGTTAGCTTTATTTGGATTTTTTTTCCCCTCTGTGTGTATGGGTTGGTTGTTTGAGGTTTGTTTGTTGTTTTGGTTTTTTTTTTTCCATCATGCCATTCCAGACTGGTTTTTGTCTATTGTTGTTTAGATTGCAACCTCTCTGAGTCTGTTGATCTCTCCACAGTTCCAATGCACTTCAGGTGACAACACACCTTCATATGGAGGAAAGGAAGGGTTTATCTTAATATTTAGAGTTGACCAAATATTGAACTCATCCAGACCAAGCCATATAAACCTTCCCATTTATTCCAGATTCCTCGTTGCATCAAAACTATGTATGTTCCTGTTCCTTCAGATCACTCTGCAATCAGTTCATTCCCAGACCTGTAGTTTGGTCTTTACTAAGGACAAGGAACAGGACACAACAAGGTGGAAACTGAGGAAGTACAGAGATAAAACTGCCCATCATTAAAAACACACCATCTGGAATCAAGAAATAAATTCTTACAGACAAGACTAAAAACTGCAACTTTCCCAATTAACTCCTTAGGGGATGCCACGGCCAAATGCAGTGGTACCAGGGGTTACACACTTTGAAGGACAAGTTCCAGCAATAAAATAATTTTAAAACCACAGAACTTAAAACAACCTTCAGTGATGGAGGAAGCACAGCTCGGCTGGTGCCTTGTGTGCTTGTTTTTCCCTGACAACAAACACCCAGGGCTGGAGACAGGGCTGTCTGTCAGTGCTTCCAGGGAGTTACTATTGTTTCAGCTCATCACAGTGTCCTTGCCAGGCAGCCAGCAATTACAAGTCTCTTATCCCAATAATTACAGGCACAAGAATACCTCTTGAGTAACATTATATTCCAGTTCTGCCATGGAGCTCATGCTCTCAGCGTGGAATGCTCTAATCAGAACAAACACTTCTTTTTTAGGAGTGAAATCAAAGTCTTAGCTGGCTGGTGAGGTCTGTTTGTCACTGTGGGCCTCAAAAAGGTTTCTGCTGCTATTTTAGGTGGCACCCAACAGGGACAAACTAGGTTTTGGAGAAAAACTTCAGTGTGTTTTCTTAAACCAAGTTCCTTCTCAATGTGAACAAAGCATTCCAGAGCACTTTTATTAAGGCTGGAGAATTCATTCCCAAGTGCAACATAATGGTAACTTCCAATGAGTAACACAACTTGGAAATTATCATCAGCTCTCCAAAGAATATTCCAATTATCACATGGAAGACCATGATATTCTTAATATATATTAACAAATTAGGAATTCTGAGAACTCTCTGCTGGAAATGTTTTTCTTGCATATGAAAATTCCCCTGTCTGAAATCCCAGCCTAATGAAGCACTAGCTACAACAACTCATTCCCTAGAAATTTTCTTGTCTTTCTCAGAATTAGAATATAAAGCAACCAGTTAAGAGCTAAATGGTAACTGGAAGGTCCAACACTTCCAGACATTTCAAAGCTTTTCCTGGCCTCTCCAACATGCACCTCCCCACATAAAACAGCTCAGTGATCCCAAAACACTCACAAAGCTGAACAAACCTTGGAGTATTAAATCCAAAACATTTCCTCTCTCTTAAATGAGAAATAAAAGAGGAATAAGGAATGGAAAACAATTCAGCAAGGATATCACAAATGGCAAACATTGAAAAAAGCCATCTCACATTTATGAATTCTGTTGTCAGATTATTTTGAACACAAAAGTCATCTTTTTATCCTTGAATAAAATCTGCTGCCCTGCTGAGGGGTACCCAGACCCAGCACACACCCATACAGGAAAAACAGCTGATTCTCTCCAAGAACTTCATCTCCCTGCTGCTGCTGGGACATCTCACTTACCAGTTGGGACAGCAGGATCCATTGTTGGCTTTTCCCAGGTATTGATCTGCTCCCAGGTAAATCCATTGGTTCCCAAGGCGACGCTATAACCGCAGTTACTGTAATGCTCATCAAACGAACAACCACCTAAACCCAAGAAAAATAAAAACATCATTTAGCTATTTTGTACCCAAGCTTACACAAGAAATATAAATAAATAAAACCAATTTCCTCGACACCATTTTTCAGGCAGCAGCAGAGGTGATGTCTGACAAACATTTTTTTTTCATTTCCACACTTTATAGCCATTGGAAGCCCTTGTTTTCTTCCCTCCACAATACTATTTCTTAGATCAATCCCCTTTGTTTCAGCCTGTTATTTCCAAGGACAACTGTACATGGTACCTCCATGCAGGAATATTTGCATAAACCTCCAAGACATTAAAAAAAAAAAGGAAGAAAAAGGAGGAATGCAAATGGCAAACAAGCACAGCATCACTATTGCTACAGTTAACCCTCACTTCTTTTTGCCTTTAAGCCTTGATCATCTTAATCTGCCTTTAACCATCTCTTACACACAACATAAAACCACAAACCACAGAGTTTCCCCAAGGTCTTCCCCACTCAGTATTTCTGAGTATGTAATTTCTTGACAACAAGAGAAGAAGCAGCAGCAGATGGCAACTGGCATTCACACCTTGCAGACTGTTGACTTAAGAGATCTTTACTGCAATTCCTGAAATACTTGGAAGAAGTTAACTCTCTTTAATAACTTGGCAGCTACCTGGACACCTGTGAGACAAGAGAACTCCAGGAACAGCGGAACCAAAGCTTGTATTCCAATGCAGATCTTTGAAACTTGTCAAATCAAGCTACTTTATTCCCCTTCTCATCCATCCAACACAGTCTGCCAAATACATTTCACTGCTGGATCCTGAGTCCCTGAGTTTAGAGACCTGAATCACGGCAGGAGTGTCTCTGCAGTGCTTTAGTTTTGTCTCAGGGGAGCAAGGATCATTTTTCTCTGCAGATATGAGTCCTCCAAAGTCAACTGGACACATCCAGCATTCCAGAGGAATCCAGCTGCGAGGACTGAGCAGTGCTCAAGGCAACACTCACTGGCTCTGCCAGCCAAGCTGCCAACTGCTCCTGACACCAATCAGAGTTACATGGATGGATATTCCTGACTCCTCACTCCTTCCCACAGGCTGCACTGCCTGCACACACAATAAATGGCTCACACACCAGTGACCTGTGATTCCTTTACAATAAAGATTATCCAACACTGGGGACGTGAAATCCTTCTTTGGTTTGCACCCATATGCTCTGGCTTCCAAGAAACCCCAAATTTGTCTCATCTCCTGTGGAATTCTTGTAAATTACAAACACAAATATCAGTATTTATTAATTCCTTAGTCTGTTAAAGGATTTTATGTGCACTCCAAACACAGTTGGTTTTCTAAACAAAACCTCTACAAACCCAAGCATTTCTTTGTGAGTATATACTAGAAGGATTTGTCATGTAGAGTACCTGACACCCCAAAATACTCTGTTGTTAAAGTTTAAAGAGGTCAGGCTCATCCTAATAAATAACTATTTTATATATTGTATATTTTCATTATAAATAGAACTGATTATAGTTGGTTTTATCACCCTTGCAAGCTTGTCTGTTTCAGTGGAGTTTCAGCAAATATTTCCAAATTTTCATGATTTTACAGTATTTTAATAATTCTTGCTTTAAATTTACTGCTCTTGTGAAGCTCCCCCAGCTGTCAAAACAAGCAGGATTACGCTTCAACTTCCTGTAATTTTTTTAAAAAAAATTAATTTAGGTGAAAAAGTTCAAAATTAAAATACTGAACACACTCATTAGAAAAAAAAACCAACTAAGAGAGAACACAGAAACTCTGGCTTGTGTGGGAGTGAGCACTGCAGCTGAAAGTCACCTTCATCACAGCGAGCGGGTACGGGAGACAATATCAGATACTCTGCCCTCAGCCTCCACACGGGGCACTCCGATTGTGAGAGACTCGCTTTTAACAGCACAACTTCAGACACAAACCATCCCCAACACCCCCTCACAGGATCAGGGATGTCTGGGAGTTGTTACTCTGAAGGGATGGTAAACAAATTCTCTGACAGAGCCCAACATCTGCACGTGGTCTTCTGCACGCAGGGAAAATCGCAGAGGAGCTGCTACAAAAAACCCAAAGCAAAACAAGCAAGAGCAGCAAAATCTGGAGTAGCAAGTCCCTCGTTTAACAGGGAATGTAGCTGTCATTGTCTTGCCATAATCAGCTAAATAGGGTATTTTATCCGTGCTGAGGAAGGAGCAGTTGGAGGAGCTGAAAAAGGGATACAGCGAGAACTTCTGGAAATTAATTGGGAGTTTCCACTGATAAGAGACAACACCTGAGGAAGCTTTAAAGTGCCTTGTGTGAAAGTCAAAGCTAAACTTGTAGTACAGCTGAGTAAGAAAGGGAAAGATAAACCATGGAGAGCCTTAAAAGTAGCAGCAAGATACCTACATTTTAAAGAGAAGAAAGATTAGTGGAGAAACCTCCAAACACAGAGTGACAGAGCAATAAGCCAGGAGGATTCATTTACTAGAAGCAGCAGAATTGGAATTCGGAGGTGAATCTGCAGGAAATGAGGACAAGCTGGAGTCAATATTAGGGGCTCAGACAAGCACGCTGGCAGTGTGAGTCCTGGGGACCAAGAGGGGGGCAATGTCTACCTGCTTCTTGCCCTGGTGTGTCAACAGAGAGCAGAATTAAAAGTGAAGTAAAGGTTCAGCTGGGACCCAGGGCCATGGGGACTTGGGAGCTAAAGAGCCAACAACTCCTCTCTTTACACTATTAAAGTGTGTTTTGTGCTGTGGAGCAGGAAAGAGGCTTCAGAAAGTGGAAGGAAAGTATCACAACTTCCAGAATATCACAGGTTTTGGGGTTACCCTAATAGACATGGAATCACAGAAGGGTTTGGGGTGGAAGGGACTTCAAGATCTTCTCATTCCACCCTCCTGCCATGGGAAGGGACACCTTCCACTAGACCAGGTTGCTCAAAACTCTGTTCAATCTGGCCTTGGACACTTCCAGGGACAGGGTAGCCACAGGTTCTCTGGGTAACCTGTGCCAGGGCCTCCCCACCCTCATTGTAAAAAATTCTTCCCTTATATCCAATCCCTGGTAAAGCCACTTGGTCACAGTGACCTGTGTTCATATTCTGCCAAATCACAGGTGGCCTTAGTCCTGTCTTTTCTGCAGAACTTGGGAGATGTGGTATTAAATCTTCACTTAGAGGCAGCCAGGTTCAGAAAATCAAGAGATTTTAAGTGTCCACTTAAGTAGGAACAGTAAGGAGCAGGTATGTTCCTTTCACTGATGTCAGCATGAGCTTAATATTCAACATTTCCTAAGATAACACCTTATGTCTGTTAATACTTAACTGGAAGCTACACTGAAATATGCTGGAACATAAAGATGGGGAAAAAAGGTCAGATCCATCCTAACAGAAAATCATCCATTGCTGAAATCCGTTTGGAGGCAGAACAGGACTATTCATTAAAATAAAAAAAAATAATCCTCAAATTAAAGGAAAAAAGATACCATTCAATGAATTTAGATACCAGGTTTGCACGTTTTCATTTCAGCCACGTATCACAGAGTTGCTTGAGGAAAATGGAAACATTTACACGGTCACCAAGATGGGATTCTGGGTCTTCATAAATTGTTAACAAGAATGAGGATTTTTGGACAACAAATTGGGATCTTGGAGCCTTTGCCCTGCTTGGCTGGGAATTAAACAGCGACAAAAGTGGGGCAAAAGAGGAAATGGAGATGACTTTGATGGTTTTAGATAACATGGGTGGTGTTGACCCCTTTTCACAAAATGAAATCTATACAGGAAAGCTTAAAAGGGTCATATTGAAGGAAATAATGGCTCGTGCAGAAAGGATGAAACATCCCTCGCTTTACACTGCGGGCTTGTAACAATGCCACTGCTCATCTGAGTGATGCTAATTAATCTTGAGCAGACCTATCATCAGTTACTGAGACTTGCCCCTGGATTAAATGTAAACCAGCCTTGCATAAATTGGATGGCTCCTTTGAATATCTAATTGAATTTGCAGAAGTGTGTGCCAGGGGGGTGTTTAAATAAGTGCACAAATAGGATAAAAAGAACTTCACGCCGTAATATCTAATTCAGTAAGCAAAAATAATGGCAGGGCACATTCCAATTAGTGTTTGATTTATTTATTTTAACAAATCCAATTAGTAGAATGTTTTATAAAGTCATCCAATGTCAAACTCTCACAGACTCACCAGATAAAAAAACACAATACTTCTAAAAAAAGGATAAAGAAACACTGTTGTGAGAAGCCTCATCATTATCCTGTGGCTCTAAAAACACACACTGGAAACAGATTCAGATACAATTTGATCAAGTATTTACAGCAATCCCAGGGTGAGGAGGGGATGGACACAATGAGAACATCAGTCTCATTATCCCACTCCAGGTTTTTTTCTGGGACAGAAGTAGTTGGCTTTCTCCCTTATTTATTAACAAGGAAACTTTAAAAAAAAAAAAAAAAAAGACGACAAAAACTCAACCACAAGCAAAAGGGAGAAATTAAAAAAGCACACAATACTTTTCTGTAAACATCCCTTGTGAAACTTTCAGGAGAGCTGAGATTGAGTCCATCAATTTAGAGTTAAGCCCCACCAAATACAAAGCAAGTGAAGGAAGAAACAAATGCTGTTAGGATGAGGCAGTACTTATGAACTACAAAATTCCACAAATTAACCCCCCACTGCTTCTGATCCTTCATTCTCATCCCTTCCCTAGGCATTCTTGTTTACAATGGCTGTGAGAGATACATTTGGCTCATTAAGGTAACTCCTAGTGTGGGATTTATCACAGAAAAACCCATTGTTAAGTGTGGTGTTTTGTTTTTTTTTTTTTCAGACTGTAGAATTCATACTGCATATTCCTGAAAAATCTTATTCTATCAGAGAATCATGGAATATCCAGAGCTGGAAGGGACTCACAAGGATCATCCAGTGCAGCTCCTGGCCCTGCCCAGAAACCTCAACAATCCCACCCTGAGAGCTTTGTCCAAACACTCACCTGGAAAGAGTAGTTAGT